ACTATGTATGGAAGTACCGTCTGATCTACTACTAAATTCATCATTTTTATGCCAGTATGAAGCACCATGATCATACTTCAGCATATAATCGGGGGAAATGACAGTGTTTTTTGAAGGATTAGTTTTCAAACATGAAGCATCTCTACATCGTATGCAGATTGCCGGAGCATCGTGCAGGGTGGTTCGTGTTTGGTCCGCTTTGACCCGGATTGCGTTATGCGCGGGGTTATTAAGCAATCAACTTGAACCTCACTGCACATACCGTTCATATGTTTTGACATCAAAAGCCACACATCTATAATATACCAGCAATATGCGGAGCCTGGTGTGCTTGTTAGCCCTGTCTGGGTTTACTACACAGTCGCTAGCGCAGCAGCAGCAGCAGCCGCTATATGCGACCGCCAAGCCCAACGTCGTCTTCATATTAACCGATGATCAAGACGCGCATCTCGGCTCCTTGGAATACATGCCATATGTTAAAAAGCATCTCCTAGACAAAGGAACACACTATCGCAGCCATTACTGTACAACCAGCGTCTGTTGCCCTTCGCGGGTGACCCTTTGGACGGGGAAACTGGCCCACAATACGAACGTCACAGATGTCAATCCTCCGCATGGTGGGTGTACTACGCATGCTACTGTGATATGGAAATATGCTTATCCCTATCACAGGTGGTTATCCAAAATTTATTTCTCAAGGGTTTAATGACAATTATCTCCCTGTCTGGCTACAGGAAGCGGGGTACAACACCTACTACACTGGTAAACTGTTCAACGTCCACACGGTCGACAACTACAATGCCCCCTTCCCAGCTGGGTTCACGGGGAATGTAAGCCAGTGTCAATTGCTTACCTTGGTCGGTATCTAATCCATTGCAGGACTTCCTTCTCGATCCATTTACATACGACTACCTCAACAGTACCTTCCAGCGAGACCGAGAACCACCCCAAAGCTACGAAGGCGAATACAGCACCGACGTCCTCGCACAAAAAGCATATCGCCTCCTCGACGAAGCAGTCGCGGCTCAAAAGCCCTTCTTTCTCACAGTCGCCCCCATTGCACCGCACTGCAATGTTTTCATGAATGGTACCGGCTTAGATGCCAACCCTAAATTCAGCTTCAGCGCGCCTATTCCCGCGAAGCGACACGAGCACCTATTCTCTGACGACAAAGTCCCCCGTACCCCCTCCTTCAACCCGGAAACTCCCTCTGGCGCCAACTGGATAAAGGCCCTCAAGCGACAAAACGATACCAATGTTGAATACAACGATCATTTTTACCGCCAGCGTCTACGCGCCCTCCAGGCCGTTGATGAATTAGTTGATGGCTTATTTACACGCTTGAAGGGATATGATATTCTCGATAACACATATGTAGTCTATAGTAGCGATAATGGCTACCATATTGGTCAACACCGACTCCAGCCGGGCAAGTCGTGTGGATATGAGGAAGACATTAATGTTCCCTTGATTGTCCGTGGTCCCAATGTTGCCCAGAATGTATCTACGGATATTGTTACAACACATACGGACCTTGCTCCCACCTTCCTCGATTTGTTAGGCATCCCTCTCCAAGACGATTTCGATGGCGACCCCATTCCTTTAACAGAGAACCAGATCGAGAAGGCCCATGACGAGAGACAAGAGCATGTCACAGTCGAATATTGGGGATATGCAGCGGGAGAGGGTATATATGACTGTGCGTACCCTACTCATACTCTCCCTCTTTGACTGTGCATGTGCTAATCAGGACACTAAAAGTTGACCTATCGGCATACAACAACACATACAAAGCTCTCCGCATCAAAGGTAGTGAGTATAACCTCTACTACTCTGTTTGGTGTAACAACGAGCATGAACTCTACGATATGACTGTAAGTGATCCCGCCTGATTTAATACCTTTTGGAATCCAACCAAAGAGACAGAATGATCCTCATCAACTCCACAACCTCCTTTCTACGAATGGGCTTCCGAATGCGACCGCTCACATCATCCTGAACGTTGATCTTTGCAAAGTCGTTCAGCGACTTGATTCCCTTTTACTGGTGCTCAAATCCTGCAAGGGCCAGGTATGTGTCAAGCCATGGGATGCCTTGCATCCGCGCGGGGAGGTCACGACGTTAAAAGATGCACTGGATGTGCGCTACGATTATTACTACGAGATGGAACAGACAACGCGGGTCCAGTTTGACGAGTGTGCGCGCGGGTATTTTCTGGATGCGGAGGGCCCACAGTTTGGTCAAGGGACTGAGTATGGGGTTCTTCGGGATGGATTGCCATGGTATGAGTGGGATTAAGTATGCAGAAGAAGAAGCCCCGGGGGTGATCATTGTTACACATCTGACGACATTTGCCTGCATGGGTTGTGTTGTGTAACGTCAATCATATACTTGATCTGAGCTGTGTGGCCACTTATTATATGCGAACTGCGGGGAGATCAGGATATTTCTTCACGGGACGCGTTCTTAGACGCATAGGAGCCTTTTATATTGTGGGTAGCCATCGGGCTATCTCGAATTTTGTTTGAACCATTCCCAAGAATGAGGTGTTGACGCGTCGTTTTCGGAGACCGCCAAGGCCTCAGGCAGCAATTGATATGCCCACATGACAAGTCGATTCAGCTAGGGGGTACACCTGCATAGCATTGAACTCTGAAGAAAGCAGATGTCATTTTTGAGACCAAACTGGCTTAGCATATACTGCAATACATCATATGAGGAACCTTGAAATATTCCAGGAGATTCATGCCTTGTTCATCGCAATGCCAAGACTGGGGATAGAAGCCGAGTTAGCCCCGTCCGGAACGGTCGGGTAAGCCATCAGGCAGTCCAACGTGTATTCCAAGTGCCTGTGAGGGCTGTATTCTTTTAGAAATCCATGCCAGTGCACCTTGTGCAAAGATAGGGAGTATATATCGCGTACATCAGCTCATCTCCGAGATTGTCGTTGTCTTCAACCCCGGAAAACCGTGCAGGAACCAGGCCTGCTAAGCACGGCAGACAGGAGTGGATCACCGTCGCGGTGGAGCCCCCGAAGGAGCCGATTTATTATTATTCCAGCCCGTCTGCGAATCTCCCCATTCTCTCTTTTCCCCAACTCCCCATATTCCAGTTGTCAGAAACGCTCGCGACAATGGATTCTGCGATTTCGCCTTTCTGGGGCGTGCCAACCTCTTATTTGAAGTATGACTTTGAATCTCCTGTCAATTGACGTGCAAAGTGTAGACTAACCAATGCCTATAGCTTTTGTGAAGAGGTCCGTCTAAAGCAACCGCAATCTGGTCTTTTCTTGATCTTCGATCGTAATCGCTGATTTGTCCTTTAGGACTATGTAGTTACGCGATATGTTGCGGAGTTTATTAATACGCTCAGCAGCTTTGTTTACAGTATGTTTACTTGTGTTTGATGGTAGTGCAATTACTGACGCGTCTGTTTAGTTCTATATGGGATCTACGGTCTCCGGCAGCTCCACAGCAGACACCAAACAGGATCGCGCTCAATCCTATACTGCGGATTGATTGGCGTCGGTGTCTGCTCTGCTGGCTATCACATGACCTTAAAATATCACACTCAGATGTGTACTGTCACCTTCCCTTTATTCAGCCTACTTGGTCCACCAAAGTAATGAACTGACCGTTTTGAACAGCGGATGAGCTTTCCATGCATCTCCTCACCACTCCGCTCCTCTACCGCATTCTGTCTTTCCAGGCTACCCCTCAGTACACGAAAAGTGTAGGAATCATTCTCTCCGTACTGTTCACGATCGTTATGGTCGTCCACATGGTCATGGACGAGTTCCTGCTCCACGCAGTGACATTCGGGACCGCTGTGTATTTGATCGCGACTCGCACGCTCAAGATCATTCCTCGGGAGATCCCGGATGTCGAGGATCGCAAGAGGATTCAGAACGTGGCGCTGTTTGGGTGCGGTATGTTATTCATCATTTCATCAATGGCTTTTCAACAGAGGATATAGCAAACACTGACACTTCTATAGCGAGCTTCATCTTCGGATACCTCGTCTGGCTGGTTGACGAGTGGGTGTGTCAGTCTCTAATTGGAGCCAGACACGCGGTCGGACTGCCCGTGGCGTTTTTGCTTGAGTTGCACGGCTGGTATGTAGATCTTTCTCCATTGTCTGGAATAAGCTTGAATCTTGCTAATGGTCATACAAGGTGGCATGTCTTTACTGCGATTGGTGGGTATATTGCCGTGGCGATTATTGATTTGATTACTTCCGGGAATTTGCAACGGGACTCAGTTGCACAGCTTGCGTGGCCATTGCCGACTGTTGCGAGGTTGCTCGGGCCGGCTGAGGGAGACATGAAGCGAAAGTAGAATTGTGCAATTGAATGGTGTTGAGGAGACAGGGAAGAGTGCAAGTAACTGAACAGAGGCTTGGGCGGATGGTGCGGGTGAAGTGGTAGAGAGATGGATGATACTTTTAAATACTTATAGAACCGTCAGGATGTGTTGTGCTAGCCACTCAAGAAAGTGTTGGTAGAATGTCACAAGTGAACGAGTGATATGTCCGGAAAGGCAAATACTCTGTATTAGATATATTCTTATCCTAGGTTCGAGTATATGGCCTCTGAGCTCAAGGCGGGGTATCATTGTTCTGCGCATGCAGTGATCTACTATAGAGTTGGGTCTACCAGTGGCCCGGAACTCCAAAGCCCTCAGGCTTTAAAATAGAAGTATGAACCCTACAAGCAACATGATATTTGAATTAAATAGACGCTATGAGCCGTATACGGACTGCAGCCCTTGGGAGGAGCTCGGAGAATAGACACTGATAAGATGCTACATGCTCCTTGCAAGCGGTGATGAAGTGTGGTTTTTGGCCTTTAGAATTATAATCTAGGGTGGTAATTGAAAAACTAGCGTCCCCTTTGTTTATGGTTGAAATGCTCATACTATATCACAGGCTTCTATCAACTTCTACTACTGGGAACGGTGGCTTTGTACGTTGAAAAGAATTTGTTATTCACAAATGGAAATCTATATGTCATCATAGTCTGACTTCGGGAAAAACTGCAAGGTGCCAATAAGTGACTTTTCGCCTACTAAGACCAGAGAACTGGCGGACGGGAGATCGACAAATTCTGGGCGAAAGTCAGCTGGGATGGCCACGATTTTCTTCCCGTTGTAAGTCACCCATTTCAGATCGTCTTCAAAAGTGTACATTGCCAGGTCTTCCCAATTTAGCAAGAGCGGCTGTCGTTTTGAGATATAACGGTGGACTACTAATCTTTTGACTGGGTCTAGCCTTGCCATATCCCATATGGTTATGATGCCAGCACTCCATGCTGCCAGTCGAGTATCGTCTGGCGCAAATGTCAGAGATTGAACGGGTATCGAAAAGCCAAAATGCTTCGCAAGAGCTTCTCCGGTTCTTAGATCTGAGATCTTCACAGACCCCGTCTCACAACCTATTGCGATCTGCTTCCCGCTATGAGAAAAGGCGAGGGCTGTAATGTGACCGCACCCAATGTCAATATCATATTGTATTGGCTCCTTGCCAAAGCTCCAAAGTGTCAAAATTCCGTTTGATGATGATGCCACCATGTCACCATTTGGTGAGAAAACAAGTATATTACTCATCGGCAGACGTTTTGGGCTAGCATGTTCTTCCCCACCTGTAGCATTATTGTATACTCGCAAAATCCCATCATTACCATGGAGGATAACTCTCCTGCTATCTGGCGAAAAGGTAGTAGCCCCACTATGGAAGGTCAAAAGATCAAGGCTGGGTTCCCATGTTGTGGTGCTGAGCAGCTTAAAGCAGTCATAAGCATATAAAGCCAGGTATTCGTTGTCTGGCGAAAATTTCGCGAACAGGTGAATTTCTTCTGCCAGTGTGTGTTGGCCTTCACCACGGGCAAGGTCCCATACTTCAGGGCCCATTCCATATCTAGTGAATAGAGCTTTCTGTCCACTTGGGGAAGCGATACAAGTGAGTATCCTTTTGTACACGTCAATTGGTGACCCTGGTGGTTGGCCCACTTTGCTCAAGCCATGAAGATCCCATATTTGCACTGCTTGCTGGCCTTCCGCTAACGAGACTAGCTTGCGACCATCAGGAGAGAAGGTAAAACTCTTGACTTCATCCGAATTACCTTGTAGCCGATGGATAACGTGGCGGGTAGTCAGGTCCCATATCTCTATAGTTCCTGCCCTTGTGCTCACTGCCAGTTGGGTGCAATCGGGAGAAAAGGCTATTTCTTCCACATAGCCAAACGAGAGTTGTCCGACCCAGCCAGATTCAATCTCTATTACCTCCTCAGGTCCCCTTTCTGAATCGCATACCAGTACCTTGCGATTACAGATCCTAAAGGCAACCTTTTTGAGATTCGAAGAAAAGACAGCATGGAAAAAGTAATCATTTTTCACCTCCCAGGCGAATATTTCTTCAGTATCACAAACCTCACTGCCACGGGGAATGATCTTACTCAACTTGATTCGACCATCTGAGCATGATGCAATGAGCTCTCCGTTGGGTGACAAGATCCAATTTTTAAATTTCTTGAATTGGCCATCTATGATTTTAGTCTCGCCAATCTCAAAGTCCCAGAGGCACACTGCTCGGCAATGCTTTGGAAGGAAGGCAATTCTTCTTAAGTCAGGTAAGGGTCTGATAGCCGCAATGTCTTTGACACCGAGCGGTATAGTTTCTCGTCGCACCAGGTGTCCTGTAACAATATCGAAAGTATTGACAGTGTGATTGTCATAGAGTGCCAATAGATCCCTGCCATTGGGATAAAATGACACCCCCAAACCGTTTTTCTGCGGAGAAATTAGATCATGGTCTTGGAATAGTTGCTCCAGTTCGCCAGTAATTAGATTCCAGACCATTACTTCACTAAATAAAGTACCAACTGCGACCTTTGTTGAATCAGGAGAGAAGTTTGCACATTGTGGCCCATCGCACGGGAGTATACGCTCAGCTTGGCCCCAAGAGTCGTGATTAGTAGAGGTGAGTTTTATCCACCGGGGAGATTCTTTCTGATATTGCCTTCCCAGCACACTTGATGACGGGGAAAAAATAAGGGCAGAGTAATATATTTGAAGGGGAGCCTCGGAAATGTCAATGCCATGATGGTTGACGAACTGTCTCCCATCATCAACATATTCGAAAAGCTCTGGATAGTCCCCAGGCTGCTTCCCATGTCAATATATCTACAGGGAGATGTCGGGATAGTACTCACGGGAACACGAGTCTTCAGTTCAGTCATCGTGGGACTGGCATGCGACATCCTCCTCGTCAGACTTAGAGCTTCGAGCCAGTGGGTGAAGTGCTCTTTCAAGAATATCAACAGTCGTGTGGCTTCCGCTTTCTGAATAGACCCCGCACAGGTGATATGGGTACCCCAATACCAACAGGCATACTGGACCTCCTGGGGAAGATGCTTGTTGATGATTTCCTGTGATATTTCAACTACTGCAGTTCCTGGATGTCGAATATCGCAAATATTCCTGCGCAGTTTATCCTTCTCATGGAGAATGTCCATACATCGATGGAAAAGTTTCTTATTCGCTTCCTTCTCGTCAATGATGAGCCTCTCATCATCGCATCGTTTCGGATCAACAAGAAAATCACGAAAGGAAAGATGGAAGAGTGAAATCCGTGAGTTGTCATCTTCGGGAACAACCAGGACTGAACTCAGATTTTTCAGCATTATCTTTATGTCTTTGCAGGACTCTTGGAGAAGCGTGGCAAGATTACGCAGTGAGAGCGCTTCTGGCATGGTAATAACTGACCCAACTACTAGCTGGAACAGAGGAATCAGATATATACTATCTGAACCGCGCTCCGTGATTGCCTGCTTCAAGACGAATTTGTACATTTCATCAATATCCTTGGTAAGAGAAACATGCTGCTTATTTGTATTGAGCAACAAATCCAAAGTAGCGTCGAGGAACCCAGTAGCCTCAAGCAATCGACAGGCAGTCGCTGCGGCGATGAACAATCGTCCACATCGTTCAATAAGCTTTTCTGCTCGTTCTTTGCCAGGCCACGCTTTCTTGGACCCGTCATTAGGCTGCTCCCTTGTAGCAATATCGGACAGTTTATCCTCGAGGAAGATACGGATGTCTCGTTCTGTGGTCACGTCTCCAGTATCATCAATCATTACATCACAATAAGTCGTTGAAGGAATCTGTGTGAATCCATCGGACAAATACTCCTCGGGCCGGCTGGTCACAAAGATCCGTAGCTGGACCTTTTCTAGCGTTCTCGCAGTCGCCAGAAGCTCTACTATGCTCTGAGCATATATGCGTCCGTTCTGGCATTCATCCAATGCGTCAATCACAAGGACTAGAACCATCGATTGCGAGAATTTGTCGCTCAGCGCAGAAAGGGGCTCAAGAAGGAGACCACTCCATTGCTGAGCTAGAGATTGCTGAGCCACATCATGCTTGTGCTGGACGGAGTCTTTCAGGTGGGCCGCAAAGCCGGGGAGCACATCTGCTAATTGTCGGGCTAGAGTGGGAAAAAGTCTACCGGGATCTGCTCGATCGGCATTGCTTCTCGAGAAGAAAAATGAGGCACCAAGAAGAAGCTGATCATTGAACATTTTGGCCACAGTCCGAGCAATGGTAGACTTGCCAGTGCCTGTCATGCCTCTGAGCCAAAAGATGCAGTTGTTATCGCCTCCGTTTCCCCATCTTTGGATTTCACGGAGAATCTGTTTTCCGGGTATCTTCATGGCAGTATGGTGGAGGGGGCATGTCCTTCCTATAAGTATCAAATGCAGCATATTCGGCTTCGGGCAGTCCCCTGATCAAGGCGTCCTGTGCGAGGAGCTGATTGCAATGGTTAACTAAAGGTCCGCTGGTACGACAGTTCAACCTACCTTGATCTGCTCGTTAGCCATTATACTCTCATCCAAAATCAACTTCACAGTCTGCCGAAGGCTAGACATCTGATCATTAATGCTTGTGATCATCTTCCTATTAAGCGTTTCCAAATCAGAAGTGATACTATCTTCCGTATTCTTCATATTCGTAAGCATGGCCGTCCAATTGTCTTTCAGAACGGCGTCCCTTAGAAGACGCTTGATGGAATGGCGAGAGTACTGAGCCACCAGCGAAATCTGATACTTCAGGAACTGTGAATAAAGATCGATCATCTTGTCTTTCACCCGAGAAAGGAGCTGCTGATGTTCAGATGACAGGTCCCTAGAGATTAAAGGGGTTGCTTCTATGAGTCGACAACGAACCAAGATGTCAGAAATCTTTTTCAATCCAGTCTTGGCGGTATCAAACTGTGTTAGTGCATTATCTAGCAACTATGGTCAAAGGTTAGCAACCGAGTATCTAGCATCAAGGCCCCAAGGGCAAGCATAATCCGTATCTGTGAAAATTCTCGCCTATGGCGATGCTGCAACGGGTATTAATTGGGTGACTTACGGGGAAAAATCCTGCCACGCAACCCCATGCCAGAGCTGCATGAGGCTCTGCACTAACAGTTGCTGTGATGATGTCCTTGAACATCTTGATCGTTCCGAATATCTCAGACACATCGTTCCTAATGACTCGGCCCCTGACGACCAGTCTTGCATTCTGTATCACATCCAGTTTGTCCTTGACAATATCCTGCAGCTTTTCAAGATTGCCCTCATTGCCCCTTTCATCGGCATCGCCATTGCTTGTTCCTTGCTCGTCTTGACTAGTCTCCGCTTCTACCAGAAGCTTGACAAATTGGGCCATAACGCTTTTGTTCACTTCCTGCTCGGCCTTCCGGTAAGCTGCTTCCCAAAGCCCGTTACATAGTGTCTTATCATGCAATCGGTGATTCAGCTCCTCCTGCTCGACCGTGCTAGCAAGCTCAGTACGATCCTCTTTCTTATCCGTCATCTCTTCCGTCTCCGCCATTTCATTCCTTTCATCGTGGCTAGTCTCGTGGTCGACATCCTTGCTTCCGGATTGCGGGAGGCAATGGCAATTAGATTCAACTTGGGGGGTCTGAACTGTATTGGCGGGTTGAGGGTCGTATTGTGGTTCTTGTCTCGGTGCAGACGAAGCAGGCGAAGACGAAGGTTCGACCTTTGGGTACAGTTAGCCACTCCTGGTTCTGGCTGGTCAAAAGTCTATGCCTTACCTCCTTGTCAGCTTTGTTCCGCTTCTTCCAGGTGCTAGGCTTGAAAATGCCTTTCAAGGTCTCCTTACAGGTCATCTTGCTTGCCTCGGTTGGGGAGACAAGGTGGGTTGACGATGGGTGCATTTGGGATTCAGAGCGGGGTTAGGAAGCGTTGGGTGAAAATTAGGCGCCTGGAAAAAGCAATTACACGTAGCCCCCTGCTCGACACCGTGATCAATGCGATTATTGACAGATAACCACTCTTCGATAACAATAATGATGTTATGTGGGAAATTTCAAGGATATACCCTTTTTCACTTTTTCTTCTGCTGTCACCTTGAGTCCTTTTGCCCCTTTCTGTGTTTATTACTTTTTTTCGAATAAATTGCGCCTGTACATCTAACCATCATCAGATCTTGTCTATCAAAAAGTGTACCTAGATGAGCTCTGAATGTAAAATTAGATGAGCCTGGATAAGCTTTCGCGATAGTATCACAGAAGCAAACTCCACAGCGCCACTGTAGCACATCCACTGCTTTAACTTTGAGAACCACATTTCCATATGAATTAACCCATCTTCATCCCGAGAGTGGGGGTCTTACCGCTATTTCTCGGTCTGTCATTGGCAGATGCCCTGATATCCGCACTGATTCTGAGATCCAACCCCATGAACTAGCAATACCTTATTAGACAAGGCCGTTTGCCAAACAGCGTCCCCGATGCTTTAATGAATCTCACGGTAATATTGCTCGGAGAAATACTCGGAAACTCCCAGATTGCTTCTACTGGTGCAAACGTCCTAGTATATAAGACTCAAGACTACAACTGGCCTGACTTACTAGTACCGCAGATCCCTGCATCCCAACTCTTGAACTTCGAATCTCACGATCCATTGTCCTCATAAGTATTATTCTATATGTGGTGGCAGTATGGTTCATGCTTGCCTCGGCAAATCATCGATCTTTTGATTTTGACCTTGATCTTGACACGGGACCCGGCCAAGTCCGCGCAGCAATCGCTATGATTCTGCGCGATCGATTTCGAATCTGAAATGGGGACTCTGAGGGGTTCATGGGGTTCACAAGCAATTTCATAATCTAGCAATCAGTGAGCTAATAGCTTCTAGTGGGAGTCAGCCGGCTGCATAAGTGTTAGCAGCGCTGAATCATTCCTCGTATCCTCGGGATTAATATGCGTGGCCACTATTCATGCATGAAGCCTATATCGGATTTGGACTATCTAGTAATGACTAGTAGATTGATCTTGCAGCACTAGTGCTATCGCTTACGCTTTTGCTACACACCCCCGGAGATAAGTATCGACGGGGGTCTATCCTCATCCCTCGTTGCCACTGGAAAAATGCTACTATCCTCTATCGTCGTCTTTATTGGCACTACTAAGTTATGATCTCAACAGACACTCTTCTTGCGCTCCTGCGTGCAAGCATAGAGAACATGCTGGGTCACACCTCGATGCTAGTACCCGTCCTTGTAACGCTGGCTTTAAGCCTCTCTCTTCTCTTACTTCGGAGATTCACATATAAGGACACGGCCCTCAATCCAAAGAGACCCTTCGAGCTTACGTCTACCAGAGTGAAGCAGGATTTTTTCTTCAATGCTCAGAGGCTATTACTGGATTGGTTTACAACCCATCCCAACACCCCCGTACCTTTGCATACCGATGTTGGGAAAATGACAATGCTCCCCCCGAGTATGGCGAACGAGATTCGGAATAACGAACATCTGAGCTTCTGCCGATGGGCGATGAAGGTATGCTTTGGCTTCTCGATATACGCTGTTTGACGCCTTGTTTGTGTGGAAGATTAAGAAGACCTCAGGCATTCCATGGAAATCTCCCCGGATTTGACGGTTTCCGTGAAAGTGGTCAAGATTCGGGGATTGTCCAGGCCGTTATTGCAAATGACCTGACGAGATACTTGAGTGAGTTCCTGAATCTCATCAATAGTGATGTGTGTACATCTTTCTTTACTGATTTCTAATTCGGATCCTTTACACACAAGATTGCCGAGCCCCTTGCCGAGGAAACTTCCGTGGCCGTCCGTGAGCTGTTAACCGATAACCAAGGTAGACGATCGCAATCTTTGACCTGGCAGTGGGAAAGCTGATGAGTGTTTTCATTAGAATGGCATACAATGCACTTGAGTGGTGTAATAGTGGCTCTCATTTCCCGCATCTCCTCTCGTGTTTTACTTGGGGAAAAGATGTGCCGGAATGAAGAATGGCTGCGAACCACTCAAAGCTATACTATAGATGGGTTCCTAGCGATGACAGAGCTCCGCATGTGGCCTGCAGCTTTTCACCCCATCTTACACTGGTTCTTGCCCTGATGTCGCAAGCTCAGGACTCAGGTGAGTAAAGCTCGGAAAGTCATGCGGCCAATACTGGAGGAGAGGCGTCAGTTAATGGAAGGCCTTCATGCAGAGGGTAAACAACCACCAATCTTTGACGATGCCATCGAATGGTTCGAAAAGGCCGCGAAGGGTCGGCCTTATGATCCTGTCGGCGCGCAGCTGATCCTTTCTGTCGGGCCATTCACACCACTTCGGACCTGACATGTCAGACAATGACCCATCTTGCACAAAACCCAGAGATTATGAAACCTTTACGCAAGGAAATCGCCGATACTCTCCAACAACATGGCTGGAAAAAGGCCGCTCTGTACAACATGAAATTACTGGATAGCGTTATCCGGGAGAGCCAAAGACTGAAACCAGTCACCAATGGTGAGCAGAGCATTATTCTATCCATTCTCGTACCAGCCAGATCTTTGACTAATTATGTATGAATAGTCTCAATGCGCCGGATGGCGCTTGAGGAAGTGAAACTCTCCGATGGGACTGTCATCCCGAAGAATGGCATGCTTGCGGTATCGGCACACAAGTTGTGGGATGATGACACCTACGAAAATGCGGCCTCGTGGGACGGATACCGGTTCTATAGGATGCGCGATGATCCTGAGCGACAGACCCAGGCACAACTTGTTATAACCGCCCCGGAGAACTTGGCTTTTGGACATGGTAAACATGCATGTCCTGGACGCTTCTTTGCTGCCAATGAAGTGAAGATTGTATTAATTTATCTCCTCCTGCGGTATGATTGGAGGCTGTTGGAAGGGACGGTACCAAGAATTTTCTCTGGTGGGTTTGGCATGGCACTTGACCCGACTCTGAAAATGTAGGTTAGAAGGCGCCGCGAGGAGATGGAAATATGAAAGACGCAGCCGGTATCAATGGCACAGGGGCCAACTATTTCTACCCGATGTACAGTCATGAATGGAGAAAACAATGGCTGTGCAGATACCAGACATGGAAGGGAGATATATATGTTGCAAGAGAAAACAAAACCTACAATTGCTGGACCAGACATTCGGCGGGAACCCGCCGAAGTAGAACCGGAAATTCACCGCACAGGGCTGAAGGGTAGTTGAGTGGGGCAATCCCCCTGAAGCCCTTCTGGAACCAACCGAATTACTAATTCGCCCCGTTTAAATTTTAAGCATGCCGCTGGTGTCCATGTCGCATTCCTCCCCAACTATCTTGCCTTCCTGGCATGCCGATGACCCATCTCTGACCCATCCACATAAACTGTGACAATGGGCGCCTCACTCACCCCATACACGCAGAAGCTATCGCGCAAAGGCCATCGAAAATCCCGTCTAGGCTGTAAAAATTGTAAGAGGCGTAGAGTCAAAGTCAGTTCCCCATTTCTTCTCCACTCCGGATGAATGAAGGATGTTAACCGACTTCCAGTGCGATGAGATCAAACCACACTGCACCAACTGTCTCCGCCATTCAATAGAGTGCGACTACAGCTCTCAACCCCAGACCGACCCCGACTCCACTCCACCATCTCAACAATCGGGCTCAGTATCACCGCCATCACAGGGCCCCAGCGCAGACAGTTATACCTTCTATTCATCCACACCCACGAACTTCCGACCCCCAAAACGAGGCGATGGCACTTCCCACACATCAGAATCTGACCCAACCCCATCAAACAACGACCTAGTCAAACGCCCCTTCCAATACACAGCCCTCGACATGCTCCTCTTCCACCACTTCTCCACATCCCCTGAACTAACCGGCGCTCAACCAAAAGCGCGACAACAACTATCGCAAATCGCTTTCGCCCACCACTACGTCATGCACATTCTCCTCGCCTTCTCTGGCTTCCATCTGGTGCGACGTTCGGACGATCGACAGTGGAGCCAAAGCATGGGATTCACAGAATCAGAAATCTACACCGAAGCCGAACGCCACTTCAACGTTGCTGTCCGAGACGTTTCAACCATTTTACCGCATCTTGACCGCGATAATAGCCCCGCGATGTATGTTTCTGCGATTTTCATCTTCATCTCTAGTCTCGCCCGTGGCCCTCAACCCGGGGAGTACCTCGCTTTTCGGAGTGACGGGGATCCAGGCCATCTGTCTCTGTTTCTAGGTGTCCGATCTGTGTTTGAGCTATGCAGTGGGGATATGCCAACAAGTGTGTTTGCAATCCATGGAGAAGATAATAATTCTGCTCCTGCCTCTGATAACCCGCGAAATGAGACACGAGGCGATGGTTCTGAGTCTATCTTACAACGAAGGACAAAGCTAGAAGATTACCGCCACCACCTAGAAACATACCGCGCCCTCCTCATGACATCCATGCCCATCGAGGATCCACGACTACCTATCTACCTGCAAACCCTTGTTCGACTAGGTGATAGCCTCGACATCGTTATGGGTCCCGACCCGCAGGGAACAATAGGAATGGCTCTCTTCCCCCTCGTCTTTGCATGGCTGTATCAATTGCCGGATGTCGTGGTGGGTGATTTGCAGCGGAGGGAGCCGGTCGCGTTGATTATGTTTGCGTTCTTTTTGTATCTGCTTGATCGGCTGGATCATGTGTGGTTTATTTCTGGGTGGCCGCGGCATATTCTAGAAGGCATTAGGATGCATTTGGATACAGAGTATACAGGGTATATTCAGTGGGCGGTGGATCATATTGGAACATCAACAGATGGGATAGCGGCATGTACGGAAGTTGTTACTAGATAAAGAATTGGCAAGATGAAATCTTAATGACCACTTCATATATATTTCCAGTCTACGGAATAATCAGAATAGTACTTGATGACGGTTAATATCACCCTCCCAGCGTCCCCTCAACCACCCACCTCGCCAATCTCCCCAAGGTCATCTTCGCATCCATCAACTCCAGCATACTCACACCCTTCCCGAACGCTCCCTGAAACCAATTACGGAACTCGGCCGCCATCAAACTATCGATACCATGCTCCGCCACTGTCTTCTCGGGGTTCACACTGCCCACATCCACAAATAACAAACTCGCTACGTTGGCCCGGATAGCCTCAGTCACAAACTCGGTCTGCGTCCCCGTACCTTCTTTAGAGCCTTTACCCCCCGCCATTAGTTGCCGTTTGTACTGGGCGGTAGGTGACGCGTCGGAGTCGTTGATTTCCGTGTTACTGAGGGAGGAGGCGTCATCTACGGCACGGAGCATCAGAGAGACACGGGGATCCTGGTGCCACCTGGGAGTGGGGGAAGAGGCGAGGGAGGCGGACGAAGATCGGGCCATCTTGGCGAGGACGGCTGGGTCAATGCCAGTTACTATGTGGGACGCAGAGAGGGGGTCATCATTGTGGCCGAGCCATTCGGCGTTGGAGTGGTTGTTGACAAAGGCTGGCTCGAGCATACGTACAACCTGGGCTCCAGTCATACTTTGACCTTTAGCGCGGGCGAAGAGTTTGACTGTGACGGGGTCGTTGGTCAGAGGGCCCAGGTCGTTGATGAAGCCAAGGGCAACGGTAGTGGCGGGGAGACCCAAACGGCGGCGGTAGCGGCCAAAGTAATCAAGGTAGTTGTTGGCAGCGAGGTACGTGCCTTGAGTTGGGAAGGCGTACATTGTGCCCAAGGAGGAGGTCATGGCGAAGAAGTCGAGGGGAATGGAGATCGTGGCCTCGTGGAGGTGCTGAACGCCGAAGACTTTGGCCGCCATGCCTTGGTGGAATTTGTATTCGGTCATCTTGTCGAATGGGATGTCTTGGTACGAGACGGCGAAGTGCAGGACACCGCGAACAGGCCGTTCGGGATCGGCATGGGCGGCTTTCATGGCGTGCATGACGGCGTCGCGGTTGGCTACATCGCAGGCAATGGGCTGGACCCGGATGTCTTGGGCTGCCAGCTCGGTGATCATACGCTCTGCTTCGGGGGCTAGGTTGTTTGCACCACGGCGGGACCAGACCTCCATGTCGCGGGCACCGCGGCTGCTCATCCACCGCACGATGGAGCGGCCCAGGTCGCTCAGCCCGCCGACGAGGATGTAGCGAGCGGCGGGATCGAAACGCGCGGGGGGCGCGGATGAGGTGGGGAGAGTCCGCAGCAAAGTGGATGGGTCTTGGTAGGTGATGACGCGCTTTCCGATATGGGTGCCTTGCGAGAACTGGAGGAGGGTTTGGTCGAGGTGGCCGATGTCTGAAATTTGGTAGGGCTTGATGGGTCCAATGCGACCAGCGCGGAAGTGCGCGTCGACGGACTGCATCAGCTCGGCCCCAAGGACAGGGTCGCGCTCTACAACGAGACCGAGATCAAATGAAGTGAATCCAGCACTTTTTTGGAAGAGCTCCAGGCCGATACTTTGGGAGCTAGTGACATCCATGCGACCAACGTCGATCAAATGTCCCAACGGGGCGAGGGCTTTTACGGACTCGTACAACATGTCGCCCTGCGCGTTACTAAGTATGGCATCGAACCCTCCATGCTGCTGACTGACATACTGTAGACTGGTCAAGTCGCGGGAGGAGAAGATATGCGATGCTTGAATACCCATGTGATCTGTCAGGAACTGAACTTTGTCTGGAGTACCGGCCGTCGCGAAGATGGCGGCCCCCTTGGACCGTGCCACTTGAATAGCTGCCAGCCCCAGGCCGCCCGTAGCCGATTGTATTAGTACCTTTTGTCTAGACCTGACTCGGGTGACATGCTCAAACGCATACAACACAGTCATGTACACCAGCGGCATAGTGGCCGCCTCGACTGGGTCGACGTCCTCGGCCAGCTTGCATGCGAGGCCTGCGGGCACACGAGTGTGGGTGCCAAAGTGCCCCTTGCCCAGGCCATAGACTTGGTCACCAACGGCGATGTCAGTAACATCAGCTCCTGTCTGGGTGACAACACCGCAGTATTCGTTAGAGAGATTATTCGCATCGAATCGGCCGGAACATAGCCCTAGGTCTTTCCAATTGAGCCCAACAGCATCCACCTTGACTTCGATATAGTCCCATGGCAGTGGCTGCAACAGCTCCGTATACGGACGGAAGTAAAGGGAGGTTAGAATGCCTGGTGTCTCGAACGCCGCCCGTACGGGTCCAAGGCTGCCCAGTGGAACCTCCTGCCTGGTGGGAGCTACCTCAGCATAGCCATGCAACTGCCCGTCGGGCACGAACCGGCTCGTCCACATGCAGCCATCTTGCCAAACCATGTCACGATTAACTTCGGAAGGCCCGTTGTCATTGAGGGTGGGCTGCAGAAGGTGCTCCTGTTCAACTAGACATCGGACCAGCTCGTCCATCTCGCCTTCAGGAACTTGGAAGCCTTCTGTATCAACGTCCACGGACAAGAATTGCCCGCTCGGATTTTCAGTTCCCAGTGTGCGAAGCAACCCGCTGACGAATGCGCCGTCGGGATTTCGGCCCTTCACTAGGCCGCAAGAGGTGACCCAGACCATGCTCGTCGTATTTGTAGCTAGATGCTGGAATACTCCCAGTCGACTTTGGTCGGCGGCAAACAGAAGATTCTCTCCATCCAGGAAAGCCACCACGCGGGAATCCGGGCCGACAACGTCAACTGCTTGGCCTAGAGGACTGATCTGGACGGACAAACCGCGCTGTTCCATGGCCCGGGCCAGATTATAGAGGAGGGCTGGAGTGTCTTGGCAGCCGTGCATAAGGTGGACCACAGAACTACCGCTCTTGCAAGTTGGCAGTGGATCGGGCAGGGTGGATAGTATTATGGTGGAGTGCGGTTCAGCTTCGCGACAGATCAGCTTGGCCCCTGACTCGAACCCCACACGTTGAAGGCATTGGTTCCATGCATGATCACTACTTCCAGTGTGGTCCACTAGTACAAGGTGTCCCCCAGGATGGAGAAGCTTCTTGGTGCTTGTTATGGCCTGCTCGAATGCTGAGGCAGTTTCCGCGTTGCTCCACAGGATGATGTCGTAGGTCCCTAACTGGAAGCCCTGCTCTGAAAGATCTTGATTCATATC